GGCTTTATCTATTTTGGTTATAAATATATATATATATATACGTAAAAGTACGTTAAGTACTGCAGTAAGAACGCACTATAAGACAAAACCTCTCTAATCACGCTTTCAAATCGATTTGCGCTTCTGTTTTCACATTTTGTAATCTGGCAATCTTGTTAGGAAAATATTTTAAATCATTCTTGAAAAATGTCCCGTTCATTTGAATTCTTTATGGATTTTGCTGTGTGTTTTATTCTGTTTTTTCTTAACATTTCATTTTCTGATTTTACGTGATATTTTTACTTAATGTGTTCTATTTTATTTGTTGTAAAAAAAATTTTTACATTTTTTTGAGTGCTCCTCACACTATTGTATTGGTATGTTTTGCTTTGGGTATATTGATAAAATATTAGAAAGCTCTCCCTTTTGCGGATATAATCGTGTGAGCGGATGAAAAGATTATATCTTTTATTTTTTCGGATTTTTATAAATTTTTTTCTTTCTTTTTTTCGAATTTTATCCCCCCCCCCCGGATATTTATTTTTTTTCTTCCTTTTTTTCATTGTTCTGTGATTTTTTCCATGTTTTCTCTTCATTTTAAACTTATATATATTTATTGAGCCGGGGATAGAATACTTGCCTCCCAATGAGGTGACTCAGGCTCAAATCCTAGTGATGGTAGGTCAATACAAATTCTGAGCTACCACCAACCACAGTGTAGACGTGAAATATCCTAAGTGGTAGATGCATCATGGGTTCGAGTCAACTTGCCGTCGAGCTTACGTATAAGGTTTCTGTGGTTTTCCTCTCCATGTAGCGCAAAATGCGGGCTAGTTCCATCAAAGAGGCAAATTTCACTCAATACTCGATCTAGAGAGGTTTTCTTGTCTTCTGGATTGTGCTCAAAATTACAAGACTGCGGAGAACATTGGTAGACGTAAACTTGAAAATGGGTCGACTGTTCAACGCCGGTAATAAAAAAGAAGTAAAGAAAAAATAAAATATTTTTTTAAAAATTGCATATACTATTATAACTATAGAATTTTTTATTTTACTACTGTACAAAAGAAGTTAATTAATTTGCTGTCTTTATTGTCTCTCTCGCTCTCTCTATTGCATTATTGTTCTTCGGATAATAAACTTCTATGAAGAAATAAATGAATAATAAGCGATTGTTTACAGAGTGTACCATTCTATGTCTAATGTTCTCTTAAAGCAAATCTTTATATAAATGCAACACTAAGAAAAACATGCTTTTTTTAAACTTTTTCTCAAATGGCTATATTGCCTTGGAGTTTACTTTCAAAATTATACTCCATAAATATTGATAGAGTTCTTATAAAAAAATATCAACATTTAGGTTTATTTTTTAGAAGAAGATCCGTCTTTTGCTTTCTGGAAAGGGGGGAGAGTAGCGAACGTTGCATTTATATAAATGCGATTACTGGTAATTTTTTTTTAACTTTGATTTTTTTTCTACATGCATCTGTAAATTCATTTACTTTCTAAATAGTATTTTTTTAAAAGGTTGTATACTTCTTTAAGTACACTTATTAATATCTTACAGACAGCAGTGTAGTTTATTGATATTTGTTAGAGAGAAAAAAAATAGAAATTCACCAAATCTTGAATTCCAGGAAAATGATTAGTTTAAATAACAGTCATTCTAAGTTAATAGTAAGTAACTCAATTTAAGCCTTTATGTTAGATTAACCATAAATTGCTTAAATTATTTCTTTTTATCCACCGTAGAAAGAATCAAGAATGCTTTTGTTGCTGATATGTACAGAATAAAATTGTGTGTAATAATCAATCCTTAAATAAAAAAAATAACTTTGATTACATTTAAACATATTACAATCATACATAAACTTGGTATTAGGTTAATATTTTAATATTTGCTTCCTCTCTTTTCATTCAACTGTTTAAAAAATTTTCTGGTAACACTTCAATGTCCCGGTATTCATGAGTCATGAAAATGACAGCCAGAATAATGACAAATTTGCCATTTTATAGCATTTAACTTCACTTTAATTTAACATTTTGGCTTAAGACGTTTACATTCCGCAGAAAACAACAGGATCTCTTGAAATAACTCAGATAAATCTATGTAGTTTATGTTATTAATGATTTCAAGAAGACAGGAAAATGACAACACAAAAACCTACTCACCTTGAAAAATTTTTTGAAATAGATTTTGAACCAGAAAATTGGTTCTTTATTGATGCAACAAGACATGTTCATATAGGAGGGTATCTAATCAATCTATTAACATAAGATATTGATTGCTGGCTTTATCTATTTTGGTTATAAACCACTAAATAAAATTAGGCAGGAAAATGACAGATTTTCTTGGGACAAACAAATTATTGACAGAAAAAATTAATTTAAACGAAGTTTTTATAAATAATACCCTCTGCGTACATTCTAGAAATGCTCCCAGTTGAGATAAAAAAAATTAGATATTGAAAAATTTATGTGAAGTTTTGAAGCTAGATATTATTGGAAACATTGTTTGGGACATGCCAGGAAAATGATATTTTGTTATTCAATTAAATTTTTTAACTATTCAAAACAGTCAATTCTAGTGCAAAGTCATTTCAAAATGCTAACAGCAATGCTATTTATTAATTTCCTAAAAAAAAGTTCTTTTAGTATTATAGTATTAGATCTTGGAGCAAGGGACAGTGAATTGTCACATTTCGTGAGAATCACCCATATATATATAGCTCAACGGCAAGAGGATTCTAACTCGTGATCCGTCAACCGAGGATATTTTACGTCGATACTGTGGCCAGTGCAACCCGGGAGCAGAATTTGTATCATCCAGCCACCACTGGGATTCGAACTTGGGTCACCTCATTGGGAGGCAAACGTTCTATCCCCTGCGTCACCGCGGCTGTTTATATTTTTATAAACAATCCGAAATCCGAAAAAAAATATTTATATTCCACGAAAATATGTTTTTGTGTCTGGTTGTGTAATAGCATATTTGAAATCTCCCCTTTGAGCCATTAAGATTGGCAATTAGCTCGTGATCATCAGAACTAAAGTTACTGTGTATATGTGTCTTTGCACCAGTTTATTTCGTTTAAAAAGTTTAACTTTCAGTTCACATTTACAGGCGATGAGCGTGTGAATCAGCATGTTGAGTTGGCGTCCGTGCAAACCATGTATGTTCGATGGCATAACAAAATGCACGATATTTTACATTCCATGAACCCACACTGGAATGGAGAGAAACTGTATCTCGAGACAAGGTAATTTCCTTTCAATTAAATGTTTTGTTCTATCCAAATTATGATTTCTGCTATGCGCAAATAACGGTAAACAACGTAAATAAAGCACAAATAAGTGCACAAAATCCTACAAACTATAATTTAAAACCAATAACAAAAATAACGGCATAAGTGTGGAAGCATAGTATTTCAGAAGAAAGCACGAGATAAACAAGTTGCAATACAGAAAAAAAGAATGGTATAATCAAAGGGAAGAAGAAAAAGTAAGAGCAAGATAATAAAATGAAAAAAGGAATAAGAAATTACGAAAATAAAAAATTTTTTAAATCTTCCTTTCAATGTCTTTTTTCTTCCCTTGATCTAACTATATTGTCTCCCTTGATCTAACTAACTTATTCCACGGTGCTTGACTCGTTGTCTCTTTACACATGTTTATCTCTTGCCATTTTGTGTTATGGCACTGAGGAAGGTTCTTGGTAATAGAACCGAAACTATAGTATGCCTGTTTTTGTAAATAAAGTACATAAATAAAGTACAAGCAATTCTACAACTGCTTGTACTTTATTTATGTTGTTTATCTGTATTTAGTACTCAAATGTGATGCTTTCATTGATTAAATTTGAATTGCAACTATGACTATTTGATTAGAGGACTGAATACAGTGTTTGAAAAAGATCATTTTCAAAGTGGTTCCTTTTAAGTTATTTTAAAAAAAAATATTTTCCAACCACTACAAAATTTATGACAAATTTAATTTAACCAATAGAGCGAGTTCAAACGTGATATTTCTCTAACCAGAAATCGTGTTATGAACAGTCTGAAAAGAAAAGTAGCGTCCTTATTTAATATTTGTATATTTTTGAAGCGAATGATTGTTGCAGTTAATTTACGTCGCACTAGAGCTGCACAATGGGCTATTGGCGACGGTCTGGGAAACATCCCTGAGGATGATCCGAAGACATGCCATCACAATTTTGATCCTCTGCAGAGGGAATGGGGCACCCCCGCTTCGGTAACTCAACGACCTGCACACGAATTTGAAGCGAATAAAGTTTCCAATCAGACAATACCTTTACCATTTCAGTTTCTTAGGAATAATGATAGGCCGGGACAACCTGGTCGGTAGGGTGTTGTGCCCATGTCCGATAGTTCGTGGGTTCGAACTCCGCCGGCCAAAGACTCCCCGTGCAGTAAATGGTGACTGATGCACGTTAAATCTGTCGAGTAGCAAAGTCCTCCATGTTCCCATAACAAATCAAAACCTCTGGGGGTACTGGTTTGGAAATCGATCGTTCTCTGATCCGGGTCAAAAATTACTATCTGCGGATGAATGAATGGATGCATGGGTTCGCACTATAAACGGGTGTGACGTGTGTGTGTGCGTGAAGACGAATTTTTGGCCGTAGATGGCGCCACTTAAAAACAAGAAACGCACCCTCTGCCTTAAATTTGCTCTGTTTCCCCAAGAGGGCTTGCTAGTGTGGCAAGTAGCATTAAAAACAACAACAGGATTAATGATTATTTAAATATTTTGGATTACTTTTAGTTCCTTTTCTAAAAGTTCATCATTTAACGAATTTTTTACCTCCATTGCATAATTCATATCCACATAATTACGTTATATTAAAAAAAACGGAATAACAAATATTTATTTATTGCACGTTCACAAAAACGAACTTAAAAGAAATAATTCAACTCTTTTGTTTAAAAGCTGTACTATGTCTCTCTTACAGACGACTTGTAACAGCTTTGCAGCAGTACATGGTGTACAACGAATACTTACCACTATTGGTGGGTCGTCAGAACATGAGGAAGCACAAACTTTACGTTGATTCAGGATCCCTGTATGATGATGAACTCAGCCCGAATATGTTGCTCGAATTCAACACAGCTGCTTTTAGGCTGCACAGCATGGTACCCAAGGAGACCAGCAAGTTCCATCCCAATATATCGTTTGACCTCTCCTATTCCTTCTACTGTCCCCTACACCAAGGGCAAATAGGTTCATATGTTGGAGGATCATGCGAAGTACCCTCTCAAAGAAACGACCCTTTTATACAAGATGACGTGAAAGGTTTTTTATATAGGTAAGTGAGTCGAAAAGCCTATTATAAAGCCAAATTTTTTTTCTAGTTACATATTTTAGGGATTTGGATTGATTTTTAAAATGAACTTCATTAAGCATATTACCTAAAATTGATTTGATTTTTAAGACTATTTTGTTTAATGGGATTTTCAAAATTCTACCTTCTGTCAATAACTGGTGAGAAACTTGGATTCATAAACTAACGAATTTATAAATTATGCGTTCATAACTGCAAATAAACTCGAGGAGAAATCATGAAATGAACGAACGCACAAGAGCTGTCCAATGTTGGCATCTCTTCTTGAACCCACGAAAACCTTTACTGTTACCCATATTCGTATGATCCTTACTTTTACTGCTCTTTTATGTATTTATTTTCTGAAATTATTATCAGATGGCTGAGAAAATCGTAGGTGAAAAAAGCTCATCGACATTTAAAAAGTAATGAAGTATATTTACCATGGTAAGGCAAATTTTACGAGCACCCTATTTCTAAATTTTAGAACACGTTATGATTTATTTTAAATGTAGAAATAATAATTTTTTCAAAAATGCTTTTAAATAAAAACATTAATAATTTGCAAGCTGATGATGATGTTTCGCTATACATTAGAAATCTCACTTTTTATTAACACTCTAAAGCAGGGGTCGGCAACCTGTTTGTCCTTAAGGGCGCAATACTAAATTTGAAAATCACCGAGGGCGCATATTTTACAGATAATCATGCACAATCCTAAACTCAACTGACTACTTGCTGTATATCGCCGTTTGACAAGAGTTAAGTAAATCGCTCTGGCTATCATACATTTACATTAGTCCAGCGAGGGCGCATTAAAAATCGATCGGGGGCGCCATGGCGCCCGCGGGCGCCGCGTTGCCTACCCCTGCTCTAAAGAATACGACTAACTATGAGGTTTTTCTATTACTCTGAAGAATACAACTAACTATGACGTTTTTATATCACTCCAAAGAATACAACTAACTATGACGTTTATCTATTGCTCTAA